TATGACTTTGACATACTGTATATTCCAGGCAAGGACAACGTTGTGCCAGATATACTGTCTAGGAACCCCCCTTTACGTCTCCCTGTGCCTAGTGATAGATGCTTCCATATCTTCAACATTAGTATGACTTGGCCCAAGGAATTTCGAGATAGTTTACCCGACATAAGTCAAGCGCAGCGCCACGACCCTAAACTCAACAAAATTCGACTTGAACTGGAAAATGGTCCAGATCTATCGGGTAAATTTATTATTTACCAGGATGTACTATTTGCCAGAAAAACGGAGGATCAAGCTTGCTTGGTATGCGTTCCCAAAACCTTAATTAACCACTTTGTGTTGGCTTTTCATGAGACCCCCGGCCATTTTGGAATTTATAAAACCTGGGTGGCCCTTCGACGCGAGTGTTGGTGGCAAAATATGCACCGGGACGTAAAGCGCATCCTTAAAACTTGTAACCTTTGTCAGAAAACGAAGCACTCTGAATTACCTAGGCCCCCACTCGGTTCCATCGTTCCTTCCCAGGTTAATGATTTAATCTCAGTGGATTTTTACGGCCCGCTGCCACGATCCCGCGGTGTAGTCACTTATTTATTTGTAGTCCTCGATGTTTTCTCTAAGTTCATCGCTTTATACCCGATCAAAAAGGCTACTTCCCGGAGCGTGATAAAATGTCTGGAAACTGATTATTTTCCGAAATTCGGTAAGCCCGCCACTATCCATGCCGACCACGGGACGCAGTTTATTTCGAAGCAGTGGGTAGACTTTTGCAGGAGCCACAATGTCAAGGTTTCCCACAGTGCCGTGCGACACCCCGAAGCGAACCCAGTGGAGAGAACCATGCGCGAATTGGGAAGGCTGTTTCGTACTTATTGCCACGAAAGGCATACTCGGTGGGCTTATGAAGTCCCGCGTTTTGTACAGATCTTAAACTTAAACTCGATCACCCGTGAAAGTACTGGGTTTTCCCCACAGGAGCTTCACACGGGATCTCCCCCGGTCGTACTACTCCGGGACATTATTGAATTCCCTAATTCCCCACTCGCTTTAGACACTCATGTTAAGGTTTACCTCGCTAAAACCTCACTAAACTCGAAAGCTGCTCGACGCCGCGAAGCGCGATCCCGAACTACGCCTGTTACCTTTAAGACCGGCGATTTGGTGCTACTGAAGGCGAACCCAGTTTCGTCCGCATTGTCGGCCGAGACAAAAAAGTTTATGCTTCTCTTCGAGGGCCCGTACCGCGTGAAAAACACCGTGGGTGCCGCCACCTTCGTATTGGAGAATCCAAACACTGCAGTGGAGCGTGGAATGTTTCATGCCTCTCACTTAAAATCGTACTTCGAGTTACCTCGGAATCCCGTTGCCGAGACTCATCCCGGTTCTCCGACGTAGGGGGCAGATGTAGCAGAACTGATAACTAATAATTCATATTACAAATAAATGCGATGTAATTATTGTATTTATGTGGTTGTATATTAGGCAACCCAGTATGCGTGTCCCTTAAAACCAATTTCAAATGATCGCGCATTTGTGGTAGTTTTTTTTTGTCATCCTTTCTTTGCCATGTGAATCGTCTTAGCGCCATTTCATGAGACTTCTGGTACAAGACTTTAATTATAATACCCGCTTCGCGATATTATATTTGCTTTAAAGTTGACGTGTCTGCTCATATTTTTAGGTAAGTTATTGCTGTAATGATTTATTTAGATGTATGAGGATAATTAACAAAAACACGTGTCTTATTCCACTCATATTTTTAGTGTGCTAAAAACAATTTATTACAATCAATAAAGAACATTATCTGGGCCTTACAAATCTTTTCCTCAACGAACTTTCCCCCCTGAGACGTACAGCTTATCCAAGACTGTTACGGTACAACATTATGTTGCCCTTTTAAAAATAAAATATTTTAAAATCGAATATTTTTATATGTTAACAATTAAAAATTGTAACATATTTATTGTACTTTTTAATATACAAAAATGTTATGAGAAAGTATTGAACCTACACCTCGCCAAAGTTTTTTGTTTTGATTGCGTTCCATCAACTTCAAATACCGACATATATTGGGTATCAGTGTCGACTCGACACTGTAGAGCAACTTGTAGTAGTGGAACACACCCAAAACAAAGAAATACCTGATCTTATATAATATGGTTGGTATGCAACCAAATAGGTTAATTTCTTTCTTATAAGTATTACCAGTAACTGGGTCAAGAAAGTTTATTAAAGAAACTAAGAAAATTGAATGTTTAAAATGTTATGAGTTACTATATTGTATATTATATTTAAATAAATTGTTTATTTACCTTAAACATAAAAGTAAATTGTTTAAAATATCTGTGGTGTAAAAAGTAATCTTAAAATGGTGACAAAATCCAACACCAAGTGGTGTTAATATAACACAATGAATTATGGTTGAAAATGTGTACCGATCGCGGCAAAGGCGGTGTGGATCACGTGATGTTCTTAAATCTCGCCTCTGTTGACTTACATGAAGAATATATAAACTCAGGTAGTCCTTTGCTTTGGTGTGACACTACAAGTTGTTCGACACTAAAGAGACCTTAAATAGGTTAAGTTAGTGGAACGCACTAAAAACATTATCTCTAGCGAGTTGAAGGTTCCATTTTCTGGAATAATACCACTGGTAATATACTAGTAATGCGTCAAGGAACTTCCTGTTTCCTTTTTTTTTTCCTTTTTTCTGTGTAGTATGATTTAATTTGACCACAAACACATTATATTTAACACTGAAAAGGAGTTCAATTTACACCAGGAAAATTTATTTTAATACTGTGTGAAAGTTAAATTAACACCATTTTAGTATTTGAATTTACACCGGACCAACGAACCATATTTAACACCATTTTGGTTTGTATTGATATAGACCACGTATGGTGTTAATTTGGTGTTAAAATGGTCATGAAATTTTGAACCGTGTATCTTTATTTTTATTAATGTGTAATATATTATAATATTAGATGTATACCTTACATTTGATTAAATCATATAGTAAATATTACTATTTGTAGATAGTAAAATCAATTTACTATACGAACACTGAAAGAAATTTATGTTTCATATATGGACTACCACATACATTGCTAAAACAAACATATAATATATTTACCTTAACCATTTTTATATTTAGTTTTAACATATTATGTTAAAACTAAATATAATATATGTTTGTTTTAGCAATGTATGTGGTAGTCCATATATGAACCACAAACATTGCTAAAACAAACATATATTTCTTTCAGTGAACATAATATGTTCGTATTAATATTATTATTAATATTATTAAAAATTAAAATATATATTATACATTTATAATTTACTAATATTGGTGTTGTAATTTTTACTAAAATAATATAATAAAAAATAGTATTTTGTATAACAATCTTAATATTGTATTGACGAATATGTTGTTAAAGTAAATTTTACTATATTTTTTTACTATCTAAAATTTACTATACATTTCTCTCCGTGCAAATAAAATGTGTTCTTTTTATGCCTACTTACATGTTTATAATATTATGTACCTTACTTACTTACTTACTTACTTACTTTATATTTAAAAATCTTTCAAAGAATAAACAATTAACGTCATAACTAAAACTTGTTGGTCTTACTCTGATTTATGCAACAAGTTTTATTATTAGGTATTTTAAATCAAGATCCCCCACCAAAATTAAGCCAAATATCATCTTTTAAATTTAGCAGCAATTTTATGCAAATTAGTTTAATTTTTTAGGAGTATTATTCTTATAAAATCAAAAAGAAAAAGCTTTATATATTTCTAAATTTAAAAATACTCACTGTTGTTTAATCTTTTTTCACAATATGTCCCAGACGCTATTTTAAACAAATGCAGCCAATGTGCAAAAAATAAAAAGAATATGTTATTTTGGTCATAAAGCATCTCAGGGATTATCATCCTGAGCCGAGCCCAGAACATTGTTTTATTCAAAAATGAACATGCTCAGGAATTAAGAGAGTTGCTTGCTTGGATGTTAAAAAATAAAATTATTATTATATTATATTATTTATTCTCTTATAAAGTTTTTAATAGAGATTATATTTTCGTTATACTCGTGGTGTTTAATTTGTTGTGTAATGGATCCCAAGGATATTATTATATTTATTATTATTGTTATAAAATAGTACGAGTTTTATAGATTATACAAATGTCTCAAATATAATTTCTCATCCCAACTTTATAATATAAATAATTATTATTGTTGACGACCACGCTTTCCAAATGATTCTGTAAAAAAGTGATTATTTTAAAAATAAAGATTATTTAAAGATTTTTCTTTTATAAAAATTATTTTGTTAAAAGTTTTTTTTTTTCAATATTCGTACATCGTTGTTGCCCCTCGAATTTTTCAAAAGACAATCACAATCATTGTGAGTAACAAAAATGTTTTGTTACTCTAAGGCCTGAACCAACCTTTTGTTTTCCAAAATGTTATTGACTTCTAGTTTTTGTATATTTCATTAAGACCATAAAAGGATACTGCCACTTTAAACGAAAATTATTAAGAAAACATGATTATTTTAAAATTTAAAAATAAAGATTATTTAGAGCTTCTTTTTTTATAAGCATCATTTTATTAGGTTTTCTTACTTTTCAATGCCTAAATCTTTGTTGTACCTAGTATTTTTTAAAAGACAGTTTCTCATGACAGACCACCAATTTGGTCCATATTTACTTTTTATTTTTTATTTATTCATATTGGATAAACTTAAAAACAAACACAGTTGAGTTTTTGGGAATTTACAATAATAATGGGTTAAACCAATTAACATTTCCATTAATATTATGCAACCAAATCCTTAGTTATTGTTAAGAAAAATAAAAACATAAACATTAAAAGCTAATTATTAATTATTTGCCTAATTGCTAATTAAAAAATCCTTCCCCTACTGATTTCAACATAATTTATTGCAAAGTTCTTACTATAAATTGGAAATTATATCCTAACAAAATCAGTAGTATTCCAAATATTGTTTAAGCAATTATTAAAATACCGAACATGAAATATTACGCATTTTTGCTGTTAAGTGCTTCAGTAGTCGCTGTATTTTGCGACGAAGAATTTTACCAAATTCCTGAGAAATACCGAAACATTGACATTACAAAGGTGTTAGAAAATGAAAGATTGATTCAAACTCATTGTAATTGTATTCTAGAGAAGGAAAATTCTAAGTGTAATAACGATGGGGAGCAACTGAAAAGTAAGAAATAAAATAGGTACATAATATTTTAATTTTAATTACATGTTTGTTCTTTCTTTTATATAGAATACATACCGGAAGCAATTTCTAACAAATGTAAACGCTGCACTGAAAAACAAAAAGAATCTGCGATTGTGGTAATCAAACATTTGAAAGCAAATAATCCAGAAAAATGCTTTGATCAACTAGTAGCCAAATTTGATCCAAAAAACGAACACGCCAAAGAATTGGAAGAACTTCTAGTATAAAAGAATTTACCAAAATAAACAACCTTAAATTATAAGTTTACAATAAATATTTGTTGAGAAGAATTGCTTGTTTCAGTGCATTTCAGTTCATTTAACCAGTCGAGGACGAGTTTGCGCCCGAGCGTGCGAGGGCTAGCTGACTATGGAGTCTGACACTGGTCAACACTTACTCCTGCGTGATAACGTTTTATCTGCTCCCACATCTAGGTTTCATGTAATAAAAATACTTTTTTAATAAATTTATTTTGATAATGACACTAAGTGATTTTTTGACATTAAAGGATGTCACGTAGTCTGCTATGATTTTGTCGTTATTAAGACGTTTACCTATGCAATAGAAACCGTGAATTCAACTTACCTGCTATAAAACAATGTAACAATAACCTAGTTCACAAACAATTGTTACACCAAATAAAATAATAAATAATTAATTAAGGGTTAGGTATTAACACTTAACCCTATACAACCCTATACAACATTGTCACAATTCTTGCAATAATTGCCTGTACAATTTTTTCTTTGATTATATTCTTAAATAACCTTTGTATTTAAAATGTTATTTATTAGTTTTATACAATTTGATAATCTTTTCGCTTTAATATTAACGAACATTTGCTGATGCGAGGTGTATAAAATACAATATACCGCGCGGTGTATAAAAATACACCGCGCGGTTAATTGTCTAAGTATAATCTATTGTTGTATATAATCATTTATAAAATTATTTTTTAAGACAGGCGACTTTCACGGCCTTTTGAGCGATATTTTGGGGAAAACAGGGATGTATAGAAACGCGTAAATATTAACGGTTTTTTTATTGTCATCTCTCAAAATGCAACAAAAGTTAAATTTCCGTTGCGCTTGTCATGAAATAGTATATTGCATTATAAGGGATAAAACAATGATTGAAACTAGTGTGAAATTTGCTGCTTAACGAAGCAATGGATGCACTCACACGAGTTGCGGTCGCTGTGTTACATTCTGAGTAATGTATACTATTCTTTATATCAAATTTATTAAAAATTCATTGATCGACCCAAATCTACAACATTTCGAAGTTCTCCTCGACCGGGGATTTAGTAAAACTCATATTTAATTGGGGTTTATGAATAGCGCTTGGTTGTTCAGTACGCTGTTGGGGCCTAACCTTACTAGTATATAGTACTTCTTGTTCGTCTGGGTCCGTGTCTCTATCGAGTCGGAATCCGAAAGTTGGTACATGGTTTCGTTATCCACATTAAGAGTTTTTTGGGGTTCTGATGTTCCTTTTGGTAGTGGTCAATTAATGAGCTCAGCACAAAGAGACTTACTTCTTAGTCTAATGACATGAATAACTATTTTTACTAATTTTAGGTCTCACATAACTGACCGTGTAAGTGGCAAATAAGCAAGATACGATTTGATTTTCGCGATTTGTGAAAAAAGTGAAGAAAAAACAATATACCAAAACAAATTTTTCGTTAGGAACTATATTTTTGTACGTGTTTACAGCAGCGACTTGCAATTGCCTCATCCCCCCTCAATATCGGGGAAATAACTTTTTTGGAAGAAGTCTTGGAGAGACAGGGAAAATCTTTCACAAACAAGAGCAGAGACGCATCAATAATAAAATGAGTTTTTTCCAAATATAAAAATAGTTTTATCCGAACATCGGCAACAATCGGCAGTAAAGTGCAACAATCAGCAGCAACTAAATAATATTTAAAAAGTCACGGAGGTCGATTGGACCCTTTCATAAAATGTTGTTTAATAAAAATAATTAGTTAATTTTATTAATTAGATTAAAAAATCGCCGCGGCGGGCGAATATATCATAACCGTCGCAACAAACGTAGGCACTTCCTATATTCGAATGATATTTGATTTGATCATGAATATTAATTATTAGTATTATTAAATGCAATTTGGGATACAATTTAATAGGCACTTCGGCATTAAAGTCATTTTTTATCACTCACGTGGTTATTTGCCTCGGCATTCCACATTTCCACATTCGTGATAAAAAATACGACTTTACTGTCTTGATACATAAATAACTATTTACAAATTATTTACATTATCAGTATCGACTAGTAGTGTGAAGCGCAGCTTCTCTTAAACTTATACTAATAAAATGGTTCCTACCGTACCGGTTTGGCAATTTTTTTTTAAATGAACCGGCTCTGGCCTAAATTTTAAGGATTACATCAAAACTAAAATATTGATCCCAAAAACTTTATACCTTATAATAACTTAGAGGTCGCTACCAGCGATTTTCGTATTTTTGTAATTAAATTTTCTGCCTCGGCCATATCAGAGCAATAAATCAGCGTTATTTTATTTTATTTGTAAATAGGACATAAATATTAATAAAACTACTTTGTGAAATTTATTAAATTTGGCATAAAATTGTAAGACATACATACATCATAAATGATTTACGGACATAAATTAAATAAATAAAATTCTATATTAAAATGGAAAAAATCTGGATTATTTAACTATTTATAGGTTAAAAGAGGTATAGGTAACAAATTTAATACTTCTTGAGGTAGTTTTATGGAAGTAACTTAAAATATTTTTGTAATATTTAATAATTTTTTACAGTACCGCCATAGCGCGATTTAAATGGTTGGATTGGATTAGATTTATAAGATGGTGCGTTTTTAATAACAAATTATTTTTTGTATAAAAAAACTGTTTTCAGTCATGTTTAATAAACCTTTGAGTGTATTAAGAAACTAGGTACTCTTTAAATTTTTAATAATATCGAAAAAAGTTATCAACTATTATGCGCTGTGTGGGACTTCGTCTAAAGACGTATACCCACTAAAACTGGTTCAAAGCCTTGGGCTGCGGTTTGCTTACATAATCCTATTGTACCCTAAATAATTACTAACTTCCATAGTCCCAGTTTTGTTGCTTCTATGAAGCGCAGTTGCTTTGCCAGTGAAAGTGATTATAGGGTTTAGGGTGGGCCTTGCAGTTTCTTTTCCTTCCCCTTCCTTAGCTTAACTTTTAGCCTTCCGCGTTTTGGCGGTATTTTAGAGACCCTCTCCGGTTCCTTGGCGATCGTGTTATCCTTCGCCGGAATAATTGGAGTGGGCCTTGCCTTCGGGCCCCAAAGGGTTTCCAACGGACCCCTTCGGTTCCTTGTCACGCAACTTGGCATCTAGCCGTTCTTCTTTGGGTCCCAGAGGGTTTCTTAGACACCCCCTATAATTCCTTGGCAGTGGTGTTATCCGCCGCTGAAATATTTGGTCTTGGTTTGGCGTCTAGCCTTCCGCAATTGGGCCTCAGAGGGTTTCTCAGAGATCCCCTCTGGTTCCTTGGCGGTGGCTTAAGCCAGACGAGTAAGAAAGAAAGTATTTGGGTTATTCTTCTGCAGTGCCCCCATGCAGAACTAAGGAATTTGTAACGCTTTGGTGCGCTAGGTTCCCTCTTTCGAAGCTTGGCTTCCCTCCAGCCTTGCATCTTATAGGCGTGCACCATACTTGTAGAATTTGGAGAAGTGTTCTCATCACTTGGGCCATCAAGTTTAGCCTAGCCCCCCGTGCCCCTCTTGATACGTTCCCCGCGGTGTTCCGGGAAGAATCCTGCTGGGGTTATTGTGCCAAGAGCTGTTTACGGCAGCCTACAACCTGTCAAAGTCATTGAAGAATTTGCAAAAAGTTATCCGAGGAGACTCGCTATACGTTGGCAAAATAAAATTTGGTGTGCGTTTTAGTGCTTGAGCCTATCCACAGCTGGGCAAGATCCTCCCAAACCAAAATCCTGGATCCATCACTAGCCCCTATTAATTTATAAAAAACCTAGACAGTGCCTTAGCAGACAAGGTCAAACGACGGTTTGATGCTCTTAATATATTGTCAAAATAATCCTACATGAAATGTTAGATTATAATAAAATCGTAGACATATTTTTCCGGTTTTCTGTGTATTTGTGCACCCAAATCTCCTCAATTTGTTTTCAGGAATTTTTTGATATAAGCTTGGGTTAATATTTAGTGGTGGTGTTATTTAAATCGGTTGACTGTGCGTTTGTTTCCGCCAATCTCTATAAAGGCCAAATCAATTTGGGTTGGTTTTGTGCACGCTAATCTTCATAATAGATTTTAATGATGTATTGCGTTTTAATAATTGAGATAAGGTTCCCAAAGAAATGCAAACAAAAAGTAACAATGTAAGTGTTAAACTTAGTGTTTTAAGTAAATTCATTCATGTTTTTACTTTTTTTAAACTGGATATTAATTATTTATTAAATTAACTTTGTTATGCATAATTACTTTCAAAACTAACTTAATCATTCATTTAAAAAATTAACAACTCATTTATAAAATTAAAAAAAAATTAAAAACTCATTTAATGAGTTTTTAATTTTTTTTATTTAGAATATTAGTACAAAATAAAGTGTTTAGCCAAGAAATTTCTCCAACTCTTTTGCATTCGCATTGTGAGTTTTCGAATGTTTGTCGGTACACTTGTTGGCAATATCCTCAGGAAGGTATTCTAAAACAAACAATTAATTTATTATATTGGGTTTTTAAATTTTATTTACTTTTAAATAGTTCGCCATCATTATTGCACTTCTGTGGGTAAAAGGCATAAGGGGATAAGTCAAAAAAAGCAATTTTTCAGTAGAGCCTTAAACGTATTCGCATTAATTTAGGAAACATATTTATGGTTAGCGGGTATACCCTTTTGTTAGCCCATGTCATATGCTAACAAAAGCCTATACCCGCTAAACATAAATATATTTCCTGAATTAATGCGAACACGTTAAAGGCTCTATTGAAAAATTGCTTTTTTTGACTTATCCCCTTATGCCTTTTACCCACAGACTTGTTTTATTAAGAATTAGTAGGGGATATATTATTTTAATAAGCAATTAAATAAATATCCACGCAATTAACGAATATAAGTTTGTTAACATAAATTTCAATGTTGACATAATAAAACAAAAGGATATATAATATTACGAAATAGACTTAGTAGTCCACTAATAGTAGATATGTATTTATTATGGGTTAAGGTTAATTTTCTACTTTATGTAGTTTTTATATTAAGCCATAATTGTTATGAATAATTATTAATTTTTATTTATATACTTTTTGTATATTATACCTACATTATATTCTGTTATATTATATTATGCTAAATGTAATGTAATGTGATGTAATCAACTAAAAAGAGCAATTTTGTAATTATAAATTTGATTTTTAACCAAGTATTTTTTTCTTCAAAAAAGTCAATTTTTAAACATTCCAATTTTCATTTAAAATTTTATCAATATTTTTCAAAATATAACGTCTTTACTGGTCTAAAGAGGGCCCTAAGGAACTTCCTAGACACTGTTAATCCGGCCCTGTCCCCACATTTTAATGTCTTCCAATTTTTTCATTTCAAGCAAAACAAAACACCACAAAATGTAAATTAACAAAACGACACACTTATAAGAGTGATTGGAATTGTCAAATTGTCTGAAAAAGTAAGCATAATTATAGTGTTTTAAAGTTCCTGGTACAGATGTCACTAATAGCTGTTATTTTTAAAGCTAGGAAATTATAACCAGAGACCCTTGTCTCTGATTATAACAATGACAAATAAATTAAGACAGTAACACATAAATATACTAAGTTTTTAATCTACGCTTTTAAGCTCTTGAATACCTAGTCTATGAATTTATCTTATTTTTAACTCGCTATCTATTATTATTTCTACTAACACCGCTCTCGATCATTACATCATAAACTGCGGCACAGTCTGCGGTGTGCGGCTAGCCTTCCTGTATACAATATACAGTGGCATAGCTAGCCTCAAGGGGTCCCCGTATCAAATTTGGTAGGGGCCCTTATACCGGAAAACCTGCTGGCAAAAAATTTCTGGGTGTCACGCCCAAAGTATAAAGGGTATAATTTTTTTGCATTTGCCAAAATTTTATAATTTAATAAATAATAAATGTATACATTAGGGTGGTCCTTAATAAGGTTATTTTTAAATTTCTTTGCTCCCAGGGGCTCAAATGCTTCCAATTTAATAAAAAAATATTCTCTGAAAATTTGAGCTCTTAATATTAACTCTAAGATAGTGCGCATTCCAATCTAAGTTTCCTATGGAAATAACATAGGAAAAATTACTTTTGTTGTTTATAATTTTATAACTTGGGAACGAATAAATAAAAAATTATAATACTATTATTATTATTACTATTATTATTATTATTATTATTATACTATACTATTATAAATACATATTTTTATAGAGCTCTACAAAAAAGGTCTCTTATAATTTTTCCATTAGTCTATTTGTTTAAAAGTTATTCAACGTCAAAGTTTAATTTTCATATTATTATTAATTATTATCAAGGCTTTTTTATGAGGCGCCGTTTGTGTCAAAATTAAAAGTGCTAAATAAACTTATTTTGTTTTATAAATAATTAATTATATGCTTTACCAAATAATTTTTTTATACATTTTTTTTTGTAAAAAATTTTATAAAATAATTTTTTTATAAAATTATTTTTTTATAAAATTATTTTTTTATAAAATTATTTTTTTATAAAATATTTTTTTTTTTAAATATTTTTTTTATAAAATAATGCTTTTTTATAAAATTATTTTTTATAAAATAATTTTCAATTCGAATCAAAAATTATTTAATAAAAGACGACGGGCGCATTTATAAATTAATTTTTACCGCAGCCATCTCTATTTGTTTGTAGACACTCGAGTAAACCCGAGTAAACCCGAACGCCCCTCCCCAGATACAATTTTATGACGGACTGGGCTTTTGTTTGACGCAATTTGGGGAAACGATTGAAAATATTAATTTATTATTTTTATTCATGAATTCATTAATTTTTTTATCTACATTTATTTTGATTTTTAGTTTTTAACAAGAATTCTTTATGCTTAAACGTTTTTTATAAGAAAGCACTTGTTAAAAACTAAAATAAATAAATAAAATAATTCTCTTGAAAACAAATTAAAATAAATAAATCAATTCTCTTAAAACAAAACTAAAAATCAAAAAAAATAATTTTATTAAAAGAATTATTTCATAAAAAAATAATTTTTAAAAAAGATTATTTTATAAAAAAATAATTATAAAAAATTAGAAAAAAAAAATTTTAAAAATAATTATTTTATAAAAAAAATATTTGGTAAAGCATATAATTAATTATTTATAAAACAAAATAAGTTTATTTGGCACTTTTAATTTTGACACAAACGGCGCCTCATAAAAAAGCCTTGATAATATTAATATTAATTAATAATAATATGAAAATTAAACTTTTAAACCAATAGACTAATGGAAAAATTATAAGAGACCTTTTTTGTAGAGCGTTAAATTCTCTATAAAAATATGTATGATTTATAATTTTTAATTCATTCGTTCCCAAGTTATAAAATTATAAACAACAAAAGTAATTTTTCCTATGTTATTTCCATAGGAAACTTAGATTGGAATGCGCACTATCTTAGAGTTAATATTAAGAGCTCAAATTTTCAGGGAATTTTTTTTTATCAATTTGGAAGTATTTGGGCCCCTGGGAGCAAAGAAATTTGAAAATAACCTTATTAAGGACCACCCTAGTATACATAGCTTTTATGTACAGGAAATTTTAAAAGTTGGTCTGGTTTTAGACATTTACCGTTATTCAACTTCTTTAAAAAGGTTTCTATTTTAAAATAAAGGCAAGTCATTTGAAATAATTGTAACGCTAATAATTATTTCTAATTTGCTATTAATATAACTTATGATAATATCACGCAAAGCAGACTCAGTATGCGGCGCAGAGCACAGAACAATATACGCAGACTGCTCCGCAGACAACGCATAGCGAAAAGGTGCGTGCAGAAACAATTCGTTAAGTTCACGGCCTCGTTGGAACAGGAAGGTAATATGTTTTTTGCTTACGCATGTCGGAGCCAATCGAGGCCCCCCCTAGCCGAGGGCCCCGTATCATTGATACTGCTGATATCGCGGTAGCTACGCCCCTGGCATTATAGTGTATACCATAGTGTATACGTATATGTATACTAGGGTGGTTCATAAAACAATTTTTTTGAGACACCCCTCAAAATAGTCCCAAGTCACGTACAGATAAATAATCCGACCATAATTTATTTTTAAAATAATATTCACAAATGCGCAATTTTGCATAATATTTATTAGGGTGTCCGTTATTTCCCAAGTAGTTTTTTTTCACTTGGGTAACATCTAAATTATTTGGTAACAGTCTAAAAACAATTTTAAAAAATCCGATGTCATTGGACTTGGAACAAATAATTTAGGTGATACCCAAGTAAAAAAGCATCAATTCAGAAAAAAATATAATGACACAAGGACACAAACATAAAAGACCTTTTTAGTAAAGAGTATAATTTTCTATAAAAAATAGAAGGACTTTCAAAGAAGGTATTTATTGTTACATGTCTATTTGTTTGTAAAATAACTGACACCCTAATGAATATTACGCAAAATTAGGCGAAAAGTGGTTATAGGCACCTGTTAATATCAATTAAAAAATAAATTATGGTCAGATGATTCCTTTGTGCGTGATTTGGAATCAATTTAAGGGGTGCCCCAAAGAAAAATTGTTTTAACAACCCTAATGTATACATTACCTTAAAATTACAACTTTAGGTAATGCGCTCTTTTTGAATAGCATTCAAATCATTATTATTCATTTTGTATGTATTGTATGTATTGGCAGTTAGTACTGGGGGAACATTTAATATTTATTTAACAGAGAATTTAAAATGTCTTATGGCCTAAAAAATTATGTTGGGCAAAAATACGCGATACACTATTACCTACTTACACGGTACATAGGCACTTAATAATGTTTTTTAAACACAAATTACGCTTTCATCTTAAAACTTAATTTCAATAATGACTTTGTACTCTGTAACATTAAATTACTCATTAAAGATCATCAAAATAATGGATGACAAATTCGAACATAAAAAACTCAATATTTAATGTACGCATGTAAATTTTATCAAAAACACAACTTTAATTGTTTTCTATTGCATATAAATACCAAACATCTTTTATTTTGTCATTGTCATTATTATCTGTAATAATGAAATTACAAATAGTATTGTTAATTGTTGTGTTTGTAGCAGCATACGCCGCTCCACAGAATAAATACACCTCCAAATATGACAACATCGATCTGGATTCAATTTTTAAAAGTGACAGGCTTCTATCAAACTACATAAACTGTTTAATGGACAGAGGAAGATGCACACCAGATGCTATGGAACTTAAAAGTAAGTAAACATATTTTTGTTTTTTTAAAAATGCCTAAATATTATTTTGCTATACCTATTATTATAACTTTTGCACATATTCTTCCATTAGTTTAATCCTGGTTTTAAGTGTAGGACATATTTAGATTTCAGTAAGTAAACTTTTATAAAAGTGTTCAAATGTTTTCTCTCTCTCTCTCTCTCTCTCTCTCTCTATATATATATATATATATATATATATATATATATATGTGTGTGTGTGTGTAATAATGGTTTTCCGGGATCTGCTCCGTGTTGTCGGTTTTTGGTTCTTAAAAAAACCGTATGTCTGACGAAGTTAAACGGTACAATCTCATGTACTGTCTTATCAGCTGGGCTGCTGCTGCTGCTGCTGCTGCAGCAGATAAGACCTGAGGCTGCTGCTGCTGCCGCTGCTCCACATCCAACTCGCAGCAGAGCATCAGCAGCAGCCCAGATGATAAGACCTGAAGATGGTGCATGGGATTATATCGATACAAACCAAAATGGTGTTAAATATGGATCGTTGGTCCATTGTAAATTCAAATACTAAAATGGTGTAAATTTAACTTTCACACAGTATTAAAATAAATTTTACCTGGTGTAAATTTAACTCCTTTTCAGTGTTAAATATTATGTGTTTTTGGTCAAATTAAATCATACTACACAGAAAAAAAGGAAACAGAAAGTTCCTTGGCGCATTACTAGTATATAACCAGTGGTATTATTCCAGAAAATTGAACCTTTAACTCGCTAGAGATAGGTAATATTTTTAGTGCGTTCCACAACTTAAAAATACTTCAAGTATTGACAGCTGTTTCCACCTATTAAAGGTCTCTATAGTATCGAACAACTTGTAGTGTCACACCAAAGCAAAGGACTACCTGAGCTTATATACTCTTCATGTAAGTCAACAGAGGCGAGATTTAAAAACATCACGTGAGAGTGCTTTAGGTTGAAGTAACTCTTATTTTACAAACAACATATTTAGTAAACTGAACCATACAGCGGGTTGGTTTTACTAAAGTTTTCTGGGTAAATGTAACCAATTTAAAAAAAATATAATAACTATCTGGTTTAGTACCGTCAAACTAATCTTTGTTTATTTAAACCTTCCAACAGTTGATTTAAATAAATACTTATGGGTCAACTTAATTAATATAGTTAAATGAACTATTCCTTTTTTTTCTGTGTAGGTGCACTTCTCAAATATTTTTAGATAAACACCGTTTTGGTGTTTGCCGTATATAACATTTTCAACCATAATTCATGGTGTTTATATTAACACCACTTGGTGTTGGATTTTGACACCATTTTAAAATTACTCTTTACACCACAGATATTTTAAACAGTGTAAGGTTCTTTTACATGGTGTTCGTTTTTTCGAGGTTAAGCATTGGTATTTCACTTATCTTATCTCGGCAGGTTTAAAAGCTAGTAAAACTATTTTGTCAGATCTGCCAAATATCTATATAAATTACCCCTTAGAAAGTGTTTTTTTGTTTTAAAGTTTGAATTAAAAAAGGCTTCCAATAACCATTTTTTGAAAAGCACTATTTTTTAAATAAAAATTAATATTACAAATTCTCGCTTTTTACGATATCTCGAAAACTAAAAATGATAAATCTAATTTCTGTTTAGTTCGATGATCATACCGTAGCTTCATAAAACGTACAACCTGTATATATTTTTAACATAATACAAAATTTCAAATTACCAATTTTTATCAGTATATTTTTAAACTTTTAAAAGTCATCGAAATCGTTGTATAATTTTAATAAAAACTCTTTATTAAGATGTCGTGTACATAGATCTATATACTGTACTATGCTCCACCTATTAAAGTGGTGGACGTGACTTGGATAGACATAATTAAGGTTAATTTTCTGTCAGTGTCAAGCTATCTTCGTCCTATTTTCTGGAAACAATAATATAATATAATAATATATAAGTCTTAATTAAGTAAACAAAAAATACATATATTGTATTATTTTTAGAAAATGAGACGAAATTTGACAGAAAATTAACCTTAATTATTTCTAATAAAGTCACGTGGTGGGACTTTGATGTGTGGAGTATAGTACATAGATCTTAAAACGTGACTTAAAAGCACCTTTAATTTAAATAAAACTAAACTACCAAAAGAAATTAATTTTTATTTAAGTAAGCCATGGCATAATGCATTATGTTGAAAGTTAATATTTTATTTTTATTATTACTTATACATTGTACATATGTTATAACTTTATATTTATAACTTTTTTCTAAGTACGTGTACGAAAACGCTGCTCTATAGATCATATATGGTATACCAGACCGAAATACGTCTAGTTTTATCAATTCAACTAAATTCACAATTTAGAATTTAGATGGTCAATTAGCCCAATACTATGCATACAGTTAAGAGCAACTTTTCATGATCATTAATTTTCTTAAAATATTTAAACATTGTTTTTAACAAATCGTATAAAATTCTCCAGTAAATAATATTAAGCGTTTTAAAAAGTTTTAAAAAGCATTATTATAATTACTAATTTTTATTTATTTTTATTTTATTTTATAAATTACTATTTAAAAATATACAACATTTTAAATCTAAAACAAAGATTTTTTACAATAAAACCTTAAATTCTTTTTCAAGCAAACATTTTTGTTTCATCCCTAAAATTAAGTACAAAAAAGGTAAATAAAAAATATTTAATGAAATATAAGGTATGCTATAAAACAATAAAGCAATATCAAGGTTTTTGGTTAATCCGTTTTGAGAAATTTTTACTTATTTTTTTTTAAGAGATATACCTATTTTTATATAGATTTAATTAAATGTTTCCTTTGGAACTTTTTTATTTAAATAAAATAATAGGCGATATTTTATGCAAATAAAACAATTGTAATGTTGTTTTTTAAATTTACACGAGTTAACCTTGACTTCATAGCTAGTGACTATGCTTTTGAATTAAATTATTATTTACATGTTCTTAAAAAAAACGCGTTCGAGGTTTTCTATTAAATAAGGTTTAAAAAAAATATATAATATAATAACAAATTTTTTTATTGTTATAACGTTATAGGAATCCTTATTAAATAAAAGTTAAATTAATTTATTATTAAAATGTACTATATTTAACATTTTGGTTCCCATATGGTAGGTAGAGAGATCCCAAAATCGAATGAGAACGTTAAATATTAATATTATTATATAGTAAAACTTTATTTTTTGTCGCCACTTACTATACAATACTACATTTTTGTATTATGCATTACATGATGTAATCTACATACATTATTAGAATAAAACAACCTGGTAAAATTGATTTTTTTAAGAGAACGATACTTACTTGTTTTTAATATTTTAGATATAAATATATATTTAAGGTAGTTGTCGTGGTACAATATTGTCAAAAATTTTTAGATTATACGCACCGTAAAAGTATACGAGCTTGTAGCTAAGTGATTCATAATAATTTCAGACTGTACCCTTGGAGACGTTACCTATACGTAATACTTTCACATATTTTTATAAGTTTTAATCCGGCAACGTCGCTTATGCGCAACCAATAGATATATTGGAGACTGAATCGTTGTCATCAGTCTGTTTGAATTAACTGCGCAAATGATATCTATACTCGCGTACAGCGCTGCCAAGTTGTTTTTATCTGACTTACTAGACTTACATAGTGTACATACTAAGTATGTACACTAGGGTGTGCCAAAAAAAGTCGATATTTGTTTTTCTTGATCTCCATCCAAAATATCGTAGAATATGTCCGAACAAATATCCTGTTAAAAGCGGAGCTCATAATTTCAATTTAAAGAGGTCCTTCATCGAATCTGAAGTTTTGCCGCTTAAATAGCACAGAAAACTGACTTTTTTACCTTATTTATTCTTGCAACCTACGAAGGATTTTTTTTTTCATAAAATCGATGACCAAATCTTACAAAGCATTAAATTTTGACGAAAAAATCTTATTAAGCCGAATTTCTATTTTCATTATTTGATTTTTTACAGAGCTTAAAATTTAAAATTTTACGTTGTTTGCCTTTTTCAACTAAACTATTGAAGTTAGACGAAAAAGCAATTTTTAAGCTTGTCTGTTGGACCACAAAAAAGTTCAAGCCATTTTTTTGCTGGAGATTTCTATCGATATTTATTTACCTGGACTTTCTGCCAATTTTTGTATAAATTTTAAATTTTTAAAATTGAACGATGTGAGTTATTTGTAGGCAAGTTAAATTTACTCCACACTTTTATAACCTTACTCAAAAAAATTTTTCCACTAGTACGGATAATAAAGTTTTCGGTGCGATGTTTATAATAAAACAAACACAAAACATCACGATTTGAAGGTAACTTCAAATTGATTAAGGTTTTTGTTTCAAAATCTACCAAGTTCATAAACTTTCGTTGACTTGTTTTATTCGACATTGTTTAACAGTGAACAAGTTTTATGATAGGACAACTATCATAAAACTTGTTCACTGTTAAACAAGTATTATATACGACAAGTATTAATTACGTATAAAAAACTAACCTCAATTAAGTACTAATTACAGCAGAAGACAATAGAGCTCACTAATTGATTTTATCGAGCGGCAAATTTACCGATATCAAAAGAAAACAATAATACTGCAAGGACGCTGTTAGTAAATTCTTTGGGACATTTAAATTTGAATTTAAATACCTATCAACAAAGATATTATAAGTAAACCGTGTTTTACAATATGTGTACCCACAGACAGGTCTGTGTGTATACCTATCAAGCTCGAAATAAATGAAATAATGTACTGAATATGAATATTATAATGAATATTAATGCAAAACTTCAGATTCGATGAAGGACCTCTTAAAATTGAAATTATGAGCTCCGCGCTTTTAACAGAATATTTGTTCGGACATTTTCTACGATATTTTGGGTGGGCAAGAATTTATTATTTTTTAACTCAGCAAAAATACATTAAAAGACTGTTAGTTTTTTGAAATCTTCTGACAGTTAGTTTTTTATAACTAAGAAACTGGTACAAAACTACAGTAAGCGTATACAATCCATCTCGGGTTATAGACGGTCAATCGACTTTTAAGGATAATTGTATTGTCATGTCCTTAATAAGTATACAAAAATTTAAAAATTTTCTGATGGTATGCCCACAGCATGACAACTACCTTAAAGCAAAACAAGTTATTTAAAACAACAATAAAAACCTACAAAATGCATTTATTGACCTCGAATCAAGTAAACAAATTATTTAATTGTCTTCCAATGAAACATTCATTATTAATTAGTTTGTATCTTTCCATAGCTTTTGACTCATAATGGAAAGATAATAGGGTATTAATGACGTAAGTAAATATATTTTTTTCCATTTTGTTGTTTATATTTTTAAAATTATTACTTGTTTGCTACAATTAAAATAATTATTAAAATATCACAAAAACTTGTACCCCTCCCAAACGTTTTAACGGGGGAATGTGGACAACATGCCTTGGACACGTCAATTTTTGTTTCAGGGGGACGAATTTTGATGTAGGCTTCACACCCCCACCCGCGTCCCTACGCTGTTGAGTAACATATCGTTTTAAAGGTATTTTATTTCTTAATAAGATTCTGTATTTTTTTTTTTTGAAAAATCTGTTGTTTAGTTTTCAAGAAATTGCTATTTAAATTTTAAAATTACGTATATTAAGAAAAAACAAAAACATTGTTTGCGGATTTGGCGACAAAAAAATTTAAATTGTTTTTTATGCTGGTTATTCTGTTTTATTAGTAATTATCAGATTTCCTTTGTTTCTGAACCTTAAAAGTATTCTCAAAATGGTATACTTAAAGAAAGACGGGCACGAATATTAATCATCCCCAAAAAAACGTAAGTTACCAATTCGTTCAACAATTAGTAGCTAAGTTTCAAACTGCAGGTTCCATTAGCAACAAAAAAAAAAGGAGGCAAACCGTCCAGTTAAAAATGAAGCTGTGGCAGTTGCTGTGTTAACACCCATTTGGGTCATGTGCAAATGGATAATACAAGCCTCTGGCGTATCTGCCACAAGTATGTTTCGCATCTTGAAAAATAACAAGTTTTATCCTATTAAAATTAATGAAGATGATCCTGATCGCAGATTACAGTTTTGCGAATATTTCAGTGAGCAATTGAGTATTAATCCTAATCTTTTGTACAATGCATGTTTTTCGGATGAGAGCACTTTTATGTTAAATGGAGAAGTAAATAGACATAATTGTCGCCATTGCAGCGATACAAATCCACATTTGGACCATGAAACCCACACCCAAGTTCCCCAATGTATGGGCCGGAATTTTTGGAAACCACCTTGTAGCACAATTTTTTATTGATGGTAGCCTTAATGGAGACATTTATCTAGAAATATTGCAAGATCTCATTGATCCGATGAACACCGAAATTCTGGAAAATGATCATAATTTATTCAAAGATCAAATCGCAAAGGCAAAGAATTATTAGAGAATACCAGTTGTTTACGCAAGAAATATTTTAAAATGTTAGAAATAATTTTGAACAACGTCTGTACTATTGCATAAAACTTGAAGGGAATCATTTTAAGCAATACATTTGTTAATTTACAATGTTGTTTTTTCTTAATTTACCCGGTTTAAAAATTCAAATAGAAAATTCTTAAAACCAACCGAAAGATTAAAAAAAAGAATTTTATTAATACCTTTAAAACGATATGTCACTCAACCCCCTCAATATTAAGATTATGTGGGCGGGCGCGGAGGATCGTCTAGGGGTGCGGGTAGGGTACATCAAAATTCGTCCCCCTAGAAATAAAAATTTAGGTGTTCAAGGAATGTTGTTCACATTCACCCGTTAAAACATTTTGGAAGGTACAAGTTTTCGTTGGAACACCCTGTATATTATGTCTTTTTAATAAGGTTTGTAATATAAATTAATTTAAAAAATGTCCTTTTTAAATTTCTAATATAAAAAGTCAAAGCCAAAATACTGGAATAATGCATATCGATGGTGTCAATGCAATTCCACCTATCCCCATTTTTTTAAACAGATTTTAACCTAGTTTGCATAAGATTTCACTAAATTTCGATATTTGGTGCTATTTGGGCGGTAAATTAAACACAGTGACAGATCAATATAAAATAGAAAACCACGTTTCTCCACGAAAAGATATAATTTGTATAGTTTGGGTTTTTAAAGCAGACCATTTTAAATTATTTTTCTTGAAAATATAAAATATATAATATAAATTATTCCTAAATACATTGTTGTTGTTGTTGTTTTTGGTTTATTGATTTTCTAATCGAATTTAACTAAATTTTTCTGAATTTAAAGTAAACTGATTTTAGACGTAGACGGTTTAAATATCCAATGTAAATATGTCATATATAAATACATATACAGGGTGGTCCTTGAAAAAAACTTTTTTGAGGCACCCCCTAGTTTTGCATAATATTCATTAGATTTATCAAGCAAAGAAAACCAGAATCTGGATTATCAAGCCTTTTAAAACTTAATTTTAAAAACATAATAATTCAAAACAATTGTATTTTTTTATATTAAACAAAATTCTCTTAAAAAAATTTTAATACCAATATTGTTTAAAATTTCCGATAGAATTTGTTTCTTACAAATCTAGCTTGTAAGCTTAACAAAGTAATATTTTTGAAAAATAACTAAATTTATTAAAATGAACATTAACAATTTGTTTTTTTAGACAATTTTTATTTAGGTACCTATACTTATAATAAGCCAAATGTAGGTAAAGTTCTAAAGAACTATGATAGAAACATACAAAAAGTTTTTTATGTGTACTTTAAAATATTTAAGTTCTTGTCAAGAACTTCTTGAATATGTTCTTTAGTATTGTAGGTATACTTAAAGGATCTACAGAAAAAAATATATAAAAATAATAGTTTGTATCTATGTCTTATTTAGCTGACAAACAACAATAATATTATGTTTCATAATAGTACCTAGATAAAATGCTTATTGCCAAATTTTGTCCAACCAACCATAATAGTAGATATGTTTTAATAGTATATTATGTATCAAGTCGAGTGTCTAGAAAAGTTAATAAAATAAGTTGCATATTATACTTTATTATTAATGGAGTCATATTTGATTCCAAACAGTTACAAAAAGTCAACTTTTTTGTACCAAGAGTTAATTCTAGATTTCGACAGACTTTTTATGTTCAAGCATCTAATACTAATCAGGGCATGCATGCCCCGCTAAGATCAATGTGTCGATTATATAATCAAATTGAAGATAATTGTGACATGTGCGTTTTATCATTAAATCAGTTTGTTAATAGAATTAGAGCAATAGCGTAACAAATTATAATTTTACTTTTATTTTTTTTTCATTGTTTTATATTGTTTATTTAATGTTGTGTTATACTGTTTATTGTAAAAAATATATATCCTTTATTTAGACTTTGTCTGTTGGATTAATAAACTATTATTATTATTATTATTATTATTATCTACGGCGAACTCACTTTTTCCCAATTTATAATAAAGCTAACTTCAGCCTGTGACAAAAACGACATAAAGTTATAGCTCGTTAATGGAGGATAGATAAAATAATATATTTTTTGTTCAAACAAATAACATTTTGCGTTATATATTTTTTGTCTATTATTAAATTATAATATATTATGGAAACTCTAAAATATGACAATATCCACCATACACTTATTAAAAATATTATTTTTAATAAAGTACCTACGAATTTTTTTATTGACGTTAGTGTGAAGTTGCGACGGGGCGCCGTTGTTGGAAGGCGCCTAAAATGCAAGATTTTCTTCACACAAAATTACACCCAAGCACCTTAATCCCACAAATAAACTCTATGACAACCTAGCGCGAGAGCTCAGAGGCTTAGCTTGCTAACTAAAAAAGAGCTTCCAAACACAAGCCATGATTCACCACACAACACAGCTCAGTGTTTATTTATTATTTAAAAACGTTTAAAAACGTAAATATAAAAAAATCTTTAATTATTAATTTGTTTAAAATTTAATCATTATTTAATAAAAAATAATAATTAGTTAATAATAAATAAAGTCATAGGAGGGGCGCCAAAAAGCAGCGACAGATTACAGGCTTAAAAAAAATTGCTTATTTTTACTCTTGTTTCTCATACATACTACTACTAACACATACATACATACTAATATTTAATCTTTCGGAGGTAAGAGCCTCTCGTAATCTAACGTAATCAGCAGTTTGCTGTATTCTACAGCATTTTCTAGCGTCATTGTTTAGCAAATTCGTGAAGTTTGGCCAAGTATCTAAGTCACACCCAGAATATATTTTTCAAAAAGTTTTGTAAAGCATTAAGCATGGTATTAAAAATTATTGGGTTACCAAATTTGGTATTGGTAGTTTTAATAAGCGATTGCATATTGGGGAGCGTTACAATGAGATCCTGAAACATATGACCTTGGTGATAGTCGAAAAATATTTAAATATAAAATTTATATTCCTTTAGGTATATTATAAATAAAAGCAAATAAAATCGATTTGGTATACGCAGATGTTTTAAAAATGCATAACAAGCATTTTAATTAGGAACTAAATAATGTAACGTTTCAGAATATGCAATACAACATACACAGTTACTGTAACGTTTCAGTAAAAATATTCAGGCATATACTTAAAAATAAAGCAAGAAAGAACACAGGCTTTTTTAGTTTTTATAAGTTTTTTTTTACTATTGTGGACGAAATTAATTACAGTTAAGAATAATAATTACAGTTAGGAATATTTCTCTATCAATTTCAAAATAAAAAAGAAGTTATAGCAATGTTTGTTTTTTTTAGTTGTCCTTCCTGATGCACTACAAAACGATTGTGCCAAATGCAGCGAAGAACAACAGAAATCTGGCAAAAAGGTGGTTAATTTTATGATTAAAAACAAACCCAATGAGTGGAAGGAACTTGAACAAAAGTATGATCCTGAAGGAATTTACAAAAAAAAATACGATGAAGAAATAAAACAGTAATTTAATATTTTTATACGATAAATGTATATTCTTAATTATAGTAAATAGGTTTGCTCATTACCCACAAGGTGTTTGATTTTAGTTTTTTTCTTTGCTTTTAACACATGATAATAATTATTAAACATAAAAACCTAATTATTATGAACATTCCAAAAAAATATAAATTTATTTAATAATTAATGGCACATTAATGCATTAGTTTTTAGAGGTTTGGTTTTAAAATTAATGTTTTTTTATTTTATTATTATATGTTGACAAAAATAGTTGAGTAAAATAAACCTAAAAATACAACTTTTTAAAATATGCTTAGAATTAAAATCTGCATTTACTTATTATAATTATTATAAACTAAACATTTTACACGGTGTAAATTACACCCAATATCGGTAATATAGGCCTTAATTTATACTTAAACATAAGAGAACAAGCTAAAAATGATGTTTCCTCAGCCTTATCCAGACTTTTTAACAGGTTGATTGCTAGACATATTTTTTATAAAGTATCGATTATGTCCACCCATTTGGGTAACCTTAAAACTTTAAATTTTACTTGTGTCTAAACAAATGTGTGTAAAGCAATCGGTTTACTTTTTTATTTACAAATAGCGCAATATATTGCCTTAAAGTTGAAATTATAATTTCCATTCCTAATAAAGGTGTCTGAAATGGGCTCAGAAATATTTTAATAGACACACACCTGTAACAAGCCAAATTTGGTTTGTGAAAATCAGCTGATTTCTGTCATTTTGATTCACTTGATTGGGTTGACGCCTTTTGCGCTTTTGCCGCCTGGCCCCCCAATAGAAAGGCTCCTATATATATATATATATATATACAGCTCTTTCATACTAAAACCGAATATATCTATATATATATATATGGGGCGTGGCCTCGCCTCCCTCCAACGCGCGACACAGTAGCTAAGCAAATAGACTGCATCGCTAATGAGATTTTTTGCATTATTATCATTTAATTTTTTAAGTCCTTACCTGCTCGACCTTTTCTCATGTCGTTTATTACACAAGCAACTGTGACGCGCCTTGGAGGGAGGCGAGGCCACGCCCCATATATATATATAGATATATTCGGTTTTATTCTAAACAGGCTGTATATATTAGTTTGGGCCAAAAAAACGTTTGATTTTTTTCTTTAGTTACCATGAAAATATCCTCCAAGATGACGAAAAAAAATTTCTGACAAAGTTTGACCTCTTAATATTAATATTAAGAGGCATCGCGATTTTTTATTTTCGATTTAAATAACAAGGGAAAAAAACATTTTTTTGTTTGTAATTTTATTGCGTTTTAACGTGAGTTATAGAAATCAATACATATTATAGAAATCATTACATATTCTTGTAGGGAATTGAACGATCTATAGAAAAAAAAATCATATCAGATCTTTTTTGTATACAAAAAAGATCTGATATGATTTTTTGCTTAGTCGACTCGTTTAATGATGACTTTTATAGTTTTTCATACTCTATTACGAAATATTGGCTCAAAAACATGAAATATCATATTTTTCGTGAAGTTTATCGAGTGTTCTTCGGTAAAACAATACAATTTTTACGAAATATCAATAATCGTGAAAAAACCGTATTTTTTTCTATACTTGATTTAAATAAAATCGATTTTTTTTCTTTACTAAGTAATGACAAAAGAAATTAATAATTTTCTCAAAAAATAATAAATATTCTATTTACACTTGACTATTAACTATGGTTTCGCGTAAAAATCGAACAAATTTTGGACATTTGTTAGCAATTGATGTCAGAATTGAATATATTTTTTTTACCTTGTTTCTACATCTAAATAGTGCAATTTTTTCAAAAAAAAAAAAATTTCATCCATTGACCGCTGTGGTTAACAGGCCTTAAGTTACTCTACTGTGTTAAAAAAATATAAATTTCGATATTTTATAATAACCTTTTTATTTAAAAACGTATCGATTTGAAATTAAGATAAAATGTAGACCTAATTAATGACAATAAATCCACGTATTTTTTTAGATTTTAACATACAGGGGGCGCTGGGGACAATTTAATTTAAAATTTTACCATTTTTTAAGGGTTAAAAAATCTAAGAAGCAACGTTGTTTTATAATTTTGAGTATATCACGGTAAAGTACTGATAATTAACTATTATTTGATATATAAACTTTTATATGCAAATTATGTTTCTACGAGAGAGATCATTTTTAAGTTAGGCCTTCAAAGAGCATAACGCTAACGTGTTTTACAAAGTATATTGTGTTTTATCTAGTTTTATAAGATAATGTATTTATTATACATTATATACTACATATAATATATTATATATAACATACAATTATTACATATGTATTTAAAAAATTCGCCTTAGATGGAGCTAAAATTAGGTACTATATAAATTTAAAATTTTTCCAAGTTTACTAATTTTGATCATAGTAGGCATCATAAACTTTTTTTTCTCTATGGTAACCTACCATTGGAAACATGAAAGATAATATGACAGTTCAGTTTATAAAATGAATAAACTAAATAATATTTATAGAAAGTGTTAGCCAGTTAGAAATTATAACGTACTTTAATTTTATTTTTTGCTCCACAACCATGCATCAATTTATTTTTTACTCGATAAGCAATCTTCAATTTTAATTCCAAACTGAGAAAAGTAATATTTAGCCTATCTACCCAATAAATAAATTAGAATAAAGACTTTATTTTTTATGTTACGATCAGCTATTTAGATATATGTATATTTTTTAATCAGTTGTTTTTCGCTTTTTTGTAATTAGTTATTTTGCATTTTTTATATTTAATATAATGCTATACAGTGTGTTTCGCAAACGATATGGATTTGAAATTTTAATAGCGTATACAATTTGATTTAGACTATACCTAAAGTCAATAGTTTTTAAGATATAATTTTTTTTCGTTAAAATTTTGCTAAATGCACGTTAATCAAAAATGGCCTCTATTTTTTTTGTTATTAGGTTTGCTGACATAGGGTTGGAATTTTTGGAATATTAAAACATTGTTTAAATAATTTAATTTTTTAAAGGTTTTTCAACAAATAGCTTGAGAAAATTAGGCAAACTTTAAACAATAATTACGATAATTTTCGATTGGTATTATAATAACTGCTTCCTAAAGTTAAAATTTTAAAGACATTTAACAATTTCTAATATTTTCAATACTATTTTGTATCAACAAACCTGTGAAAGTCTACATGTTAGTTAATGTGACAGTATCCATGGTTACCACTTAATCTGTTTATTTAAAATTAATTAAAATATTTGATTGAAACATTAATAAATGTTGACTTTGGGTGTAGCTATTTTATTAAGAATTTTATGTAGAATTAAAAAATGTAATAATATATGAGGTGTCCTGTTTAAAATAAAAAAGTTAAATACAATTCCGGTAAAACAGGAAGTATTATTTTGTTCAAAATAATTTAAGAAAAAAAACTAAATCAAATAATTTACGCTATTAAAATTATTTTAAATCGATGACTTTCGCGATTCCCTAGAAACTACTAACGGACTACGTACGTGAAACACCCTGTATATTAAACGTCAATTATGTGTTATGCTTTACTTAATTAATAATAAAAGATACAACAATATTTGTATAAAAATGACAATATGTACTAAACTAAACATTTATGAATACTGCTACTGCTAATTCAAAATTGATCCTGGCCACAGAAACATCATTTGCATAAAAAAGTTAAAATATCAAATAATAGTCAAATATCAATACTTCAACGTATTCTACTTAAATTTATAAAACAAAGTTGCTCCTTCGAATATTTACCCTTTAAAAATTGTTAAATTTTAAATTAAATTATCACCAGCGCCCCCTGTACGTTAAAATCTAAACAAAATTTTTTCATGAATTAAGTGTCATTAGTAAGATCTACATTTTTTCCAAATTTCAAATCGATACGATTAAAAATAAAAAAGTTATCAAAAAAAATGAAATTTCTTCATTTTTAACACAATGAAGAAATAAAAATAAAAACAAAGTTGTCAATGGACAAGATTTTTTTTTTTGAAAAAGTACTGCATTTAGATGTAGAAATAAGGTAAAAAAGTTTCAATCGATTTTTAAGTAAGTCAATTAAAATAAAAATTGTTGTTCCATAACTTGTACTTTTTTCACTATATTAGAATCAAACATTTGTTGTACTCTTCTATTAATGCAACTCCTCTTTCTGCTACATCATTGAGAACGCTAATACGTTTGAAAAGTACTAGATTATCTTGATAGCTTTCATCCTGTGTCCAAAAATTTTGGACCAAAATTCTACATTCTTATTGATAAAGTCAATGGGTAAATCAAATATATTAAATATATATATGTATATTTGATACTTATTGCGAGTAGTTAAAAACCACCGGCAAAAATATCCCAATTGTAACAAGAAAAATTTAGTTTGATTTTAAGATAGTGAAAAAGTACAAGTTATTGAATAAATTTTTTTATTTTAATTGAAAAATTATTGAAACATGGCTTTTATTACTCTACATTACCTAATAGTCAAGTGTAAATAGAATATTTATTATTTTTTAAGAAAATGATTAATTTTTTTGTCATTACTCAGGTAAATTATTATAGGAAAAAACCGTGTTTTTCACGATTATTAATATTTCGTAAAAATTGTATTGTTTTACCGAAGAACACTCGATAAACTTCACGAAAAATATGATATTTCATGTTTTTGAGACAATATTTCGTGATAGAGTATGAAAAACTATAAAAGTCATCATTTACTATTTGAAGTTAAAATTTAACCTCAAATAACTTTTAAAAGAGTCGACTATGCAAAAAATCATATCAGATCTTTTCTGTAGATCGTTCAATTCCCTACAAGAATATGTATTGATTTCTACAACTAACTGATTCGTTAAAACGCAATAAAATTACAAACAAAAAAATGTATTTTTCCACGACCACTATGCAAAAGTCACATTTCGTATTGGCATCGTTGCTTAGAAAATGAATCTTTTCATTGGAAAGGCAAAACACGAATGTAAAGTGACATTTCTGTGTGAAAAGTGACAGGTCTGTA